ATCTCGAAATCGATATTCCGCAGAATTACATAACTCTATATTTCGTATTACTCCGTATATATACTTAGATTTCTTTAGAGCTTCATTTGACAGATCATCAGAAGTTACCGTGTCATCCAATCGGGAGCTGAGACGTCACTAGTGACATCACTATGGTGACGTGTGGCCCACGATATCGTGGGCCACGGGTGACGTACAACTTGCCACTGGATGACACCGCAACAGCTGATTTACGTCAACTGAACCTGTTTAAATCCAAGTATACGTACGTATGCGAGAAAGTAGAAATCCATCTTCAAAAATGCAAACGGAAGATACACTTTTAAAAATGTCAAACTAGTGCATTTTTCAAAAATTCAGTATAAACATTGAAAATCGAAACTATGCAATCTTAATTAAGTCTTAATTCGTATCTTATTTCAGTCTATTCAAACAAGAAATTTAAAGACAACAAATGGAGAATTTTTAAGAACGTTGTTTAAAAAATTCCCAGAGGCTTCATGTGAAATTTCCTCAAAATTTATAAAACTCTACACAAAATAACAAGGTTGGGTAAGTTCAATCGGGGGATATTAATTTTGGCCAAAAATGCGACTCGTTTCGAAGAAAATAAATGCGTAAATTTACTCAAAAACTACATAATAAACACATATTTTTCAAGAATTTCACTTTCCCGTATTTTAAGACCTCTTTCTAAATAACCTAATTTATTAACGATTTTTTTTATCTTCAATACTGCACATTTTGGAAGACGCAGAAAAAAATTGAAATTTGAGAAAATCCTGTAAACGGGTTACGCACGAATGACGGCACGAACCGTCAACATTAAGAAATACCGAATCGATCATGATATAATAAAAATATCCCCTAACAATAAGCTGTTTTATCTGGGCACTGTGTGCGGGCCTGAACGCTTCGCCACTGCTCCCAACTGAGGCACTTGCAACCGACTTGGAGACGAGCTTCTCAGCATTAATTAACTATCACGACGTTTTAATTGAATTTACTGGATTTAGTGCCGTTTAAACGGTATCATACTCTGCGGTATCTGAAAACATAAAGCCAAGTGTAAAAATGTGATTTTCATTTCTGGTAGTGAAACTCGTTGGCACACTTGTACTAACGTGGCGACCACATACGCACGCCTACATTGGATTATTTCAGGCATTGAAAGTTATCGGAGAGAAACATCTTGTTGAGAGCCTCGGAGCACAATGTCAGTACCAATTTAAACGTCTAAATTCTTGTCACGGTCTCGAAATTCCCAGAGCTTTTTAGTGTGGAAAGTTGTTAAATATGCTCAGTTACGGTACCAACTGTTTATAAAATGTTTTTCTAAGGCGAGAAAATCAATTTATAAACCGCATCATTAAAAGTTCAAATGTGCTGTAAAGAAAATTAAAATATATTATATAGTAACAGTTCAATGTAAAATTATAACTTATAATGAGGGAAAGGATTTTGAGGTGCAAATTATGGTCGTAAAAGCGGAAAAATGTTATGAAAATACAAAAGGTGCTGCTGAAGGTGGTGCTATTAAGGTTTAAACCACATTACCTCAGTTTCTAGAATATACTCTTATCACTTTGCACCAATTTTTTCTTCTTTATAGAGTAGGCGATTCTTAGTATTTTATCATTTAGTATTTATTTATCGTCTGACCATGCCAAAAACATTAGCCTACCGCACCGCACGTGGTAGCGAACTTCCTTGGAAATTAATTTGCTTTAGTGTCTTCGCTCGGTAGTGGAGAAACACTAAATACACGGCTCTGCTTTCATAAGATATGGATGCTGGTCCGGCTCTGCTCTTATCATCCATATATTTTCCACTGCCACTGATACCCGTTTCCTCACTATTCATAAGTAGTATCACTATCACTGTCCTTAATATCGTTTCCATCGTTTCCGGTAAAAAATAACGATTTCTTGATAAGGTGTATTAAATCATTGGGTGACGAATCATACTCGCATTGAAACCGTCGAGAGCAGATGCCACGTCCTTTCTCTTCCTCTCTTTAATAGAAGTTGAATATGGACACCTTTCTCCCGATTGAATATAATTAATTTCCTTATTAATTCTGCGAATTGATCTTTTCGAAACACGCGAAGCAGCAACTACTCCCTTAAGAACTGCTTTGATGCATATCATTTGCTTCTCTCTTCATAAATTGATATACTTTTGCAACGTCTTCACGCGTCTGACTGAAGGACGTTCTTATGCAACTTGCACTGAACCAGATGCATTGCATCACAACAGAACATCACACAAACCGCTTCACTCAGGAAGGAAATTGCAACTGAAAACTTGCACCTCGAAAGACGAATAGTCAGGGTCAATGTTTACCCAACTGGAGTAGGGATGTCAACTCGTCCTGAGAAAGGACGCGCTCCGCCCTGAACCGATAAGTTTGAGGAATGGACTCCCCCGGCAGCTCTGGGCCCTCGACCTCCAGCGGCCACGCTAAAATAATTTCACTGTATCCAACACTGTAGTAGATAGAAAAGTGTTCAAGAATGGCCAGTGCTGACTGAACTTATTTTTCCCGCGGATCGCATAGTAGAGCCTACTCGTACTTCGCAAGCGTGTCAAATTGCGCCTGCACGAGTACTTGCACGTGTGGGAACCTTGGTGCTCTGGCTGGAACAGGCAACTTCCCGTGACTTCCCTTCTCTTCCCCAGTTCCCCTCCTAATCCACAAGCGCTGGCCAGTGCTCTTTTAGTATTGACAAGAGGAAACATTTTCCTCGGGTCACAGGCAAGTGGATTTCTGCACACCATTTAAATGTCCTGATTTGCCTGTCGGGGCAGCACGTTAAATCCAACGGAATAGGGTAATATTGTTGACTTCTGATTAAAAGAGATATTTTTAAAACTATTCAAGAAGAGAAAAAAAATACATTTTCTGCCTAAGTGCTTAAAAATGCAGAAAATAATGAAGGAAAAGGTGTTAAAATAAAAAGGAGGAAAAGGCAACAAAATGTAGTAATGTCACGTAAATGTGCAGCAAATTGTGTTTATTTCGCTTCCTTTCATGCCTCCAAATACACATATTAGACCATAAAAAAATAAATTTAAAAAAACCTGTAACAGTATGAAAACGCAATATTTTTTGAAAGGTGCCGCACCTTAAATTCCTTCCCCTACTTATAATAGTATACACAGTATTAGTCGTAGAAAAAGTACTGTACGAAACTCGATGAAATTGATATTATCCACTCATACAAAGTTTACGATAATCTCTCTATCATTTCACACTCGTGTTTTAATTATCCATCATTACATCATTTCGTTAAGTTACATCGTTTCATTAAGATGTAACTTTTATAATGAGACCGTAAACTTCCGATTTATCAAGAAATTTGCTGAGAACTGAAAGTTCGTTTTCTACTGGTTCGGAAAACGTCCAACATCCCTGGTGGTGGCTTTGTCATTTTTGTTTACCTTTCTGTCTGGTGATCGGGGCTCACAAGGTCGCCAGAAATAGCAGTTATTTGGCAGCGAAGCATCCGCCTTTCGGCTGAAGTTTGCGTCGATAGTGATATGGTTCATGTACCATACTCGAATCAAACAGCATTGCAGAGATGTAGAAGGAAGTCGGTGACAGAAATTTAAAAAGAAAGTGCTAGTAACTTCGGCGTTGTTCTTCGTCCATTTCGCAAACACACAGCCAACTCTGCTTTAATTTCAAAATAATTAATTTTAAACAGGTGTTACATTTTCTTGTCATTCACTTTTAAACATTGATGACGCTACAACCTACAAATTTCTTTGATGAAAAAAAAAAAAACCTAACAGTAAGCTAATTTCACAATCCTGAAACATTTTCCATCGAAAAAAGTCCACACGCATGTCAAGTTCTTTTTGCTGGGTGTCAGATTGCTGGTATTTTGTTTGGAGATGAAATTTGACAGAAATTAAGAGACATTCGTAAAGTTTTCTGTAATAAATACGATAGAACTCGGGACAGCCGTATATCACGCACAACAGAACCTGTGTCACTACGTAAAGTGCTGCACTTACGACCACGCTTTTCACGATACTGAGCTATTTGTAGTAACAAAACAAACGAAACAAGTTTCAGATTCAGAAAATGGAATAAGATCACTACATTCAATATTCCTCCATGGTCACTACGTGTACATTTTTTAAATAAGTGTTGTTGGCCCTAAAATTGTAGTTATCTTTATTGCGAATTCAATAACCTTGCGTTATACAATTTGTTTTTTTTAATCTTAGCATTGAACGTGATTCAAATGCTCGTGGCGTGAGTTTATATGCGTTCAGCAACAATTCTTACGCATCATTTTCTTTTGTTTTTCCCCAGAGAAAAGACAATGTGTTTTCATTTCATCTAGAATACGTGACCACTCGTATGCGTTATTGTAATTTCATTTATTCATAGGCTATATAATTCTAAGTTTTACAGTATACGATGCAATGCAACGCAGCAAACTTTTTTGCACACTAAAATGATGTTTTTTACTTCTATATATAAGTTATTCGGCAAAAACAAATGTTAATAAATCGAAACGAATTTAATTAAATGTTTAAAAAAAGTTATTTAAGAAACTTTATTAAAACAGTATGTTTAATTAATTTTTCAAATAGTATGTTCCTGTTCCGAAAATTATTATTAATTCAGATGTTTTAGAAAATTGGAAGCTAAGATTGCAAGAAAGCAATCAAATAAATTGCAAGTAACCTATTTTAAACAGACCCTGTTTCTACTAGCATTCATTCAAGCTATTTATACTAGAGTTTTTTGTGTCTCCCCCCTTCCCCCACTCTTTCTTTCATTCTTTCATTGGTCTTCACAGAACTTTTACACCTCACCATCCCTCATAATTAAAGAAATAAAATAATATATACATAATTGGGGGAAAAGAAGAGAAAGAAAAATGAAAGAAAGAAAAGTATGAATAAGAGAATAAAATAAGCATAAAAAAATCTGGATCATGTATGTTGTTTTTTTAAGAAAGAAAAAAAGAAAAAATAATTTCCCCTTTCTGTACTTGAAAAAAACACACAGTCCTGAGAAGTACTTTTATTGAAGAATCTTATTGCAGACATATTTACAATTATTTTTGAAATTATCAAGAACTATTTCTTCTAGGGCTTGTTCATTATAAACATTACTTTGAGATGATGTAAACAATGCAGGGTTGGGGTTGTTATTTTATTTTACTCTTCACAGAGGCTAAAAGACTTTCAGAGATCTAAACAACATACGTCAAGTATTTAAAAACATTCACATTGCAGGCAGTAGTCACCACAGATGTTCACGAAGTATATACAGGTTCATTCTAATAGAAACAAATTTAATCATGCATGTTTCATTAGAGATATCAGCTGCATAAAATAATGACATTCAGTTTGATTCTTCTAAATTCTTTAACAAGTATGCTGCTTTACCAATGGTTTTTTGCTTATTTCGATTAAAATAGCCTCCTAATAGACCTGTTGACATTTCGACTAACACTATATCTGCGAGTCCTTCAATCCTATGTGCAATTAACCTTCATACAATATTTAGAAGATTTCACATACAAATCAGTGGTATTTTTATTTGTAAAATGGACATATGGTACTTACAATTTATATATTCAAAATCATTAGAATATATCAAACTAACATATACTTAACTGTATCCAATATTTATCATTACTATTTTCAATATGTAACTTTATTTCATACAGATTCATTTTTACATGGGTTTGCTGGTTTTGAAGGACAATAGTGAACTATTATTTTATTTTTTACTAACATGTGATATAAGAGCACTATTGTTCATGCAACTTATCAGTATAGTAATATACTATAAGTTGATTACCCAAAATTTTATTAAGAGAGGCAAAGAAAGCGAAATGACTTAAAGGCTCTAAGCAAAACGACCAATAATATTAAACCTAGTTGTCATACTATATCGCTACAAATATAAATGACAACATTAATGGGCCATTGCAAATAAGACATGAACAGGAATCATTTAGCATGTGGAACAGGGGGGAGTGAAGAATGGAAATTATATTAATTGAAATTGAATGTGTTTATTTCCTTTTTCATTCTGTAATCGAGTTGCTCTTTTACTTTATAAAACTGAATCATGTTAATTTTTGTTTAAACATTTCAATTTTTGTTGGTGATAATAAAAAATAAAAAAATTCAAAAGTTTAATACTTGAATATGTAAAGGTCATTTCTCATTAGTTGATTAGACTCATGCTAATGGACTCGCACATGCATTCAAAGCACTTTTTTCAAGAGAACTCAACATATAGTAGGTGCAGCAAAACTTGAGAGTCATTCACAGAAGTAGTAAGTTTCATCAGTTTCTTACAGTAAGATGTGCTGCACATTCACTACATTACCAAACAAATTTGCATAAGAAAACCACCACATAAATGCAGCAAGTCTCACTCTGGGAATCAGTACTAAGGCTCAGGCATCAAGATGGCTTGGCTTCAGAGATATCACATATGCAATGTAATAATGTGGAAATAATTATTTATTTTGCAGATAACTGAAATTAAACAAAAGCTCTATTTATACATATTTACAACAACAACAACAACAAAAATTAAAAACTCAGAAAGCAGGAGGTACAGTTTATGTGAATCCTTCAATGAGAAGAAGAATAAGAAGTTAACAATATTCCACTGTTAGTCAGAAGGAAATTTGCTGAATGATTATAGTAACAACCGTTATTGTGGAAGAATTTTATTGCTAGAACATATTTGAATAAAATCAACAAGAAATATAAAGGTATTAAGAAACATTTTAACCTCTTTCATTTTCCAAAAACAAATTTATATTAACAATGATAAACAAAACATTATTTTTTTCTCATTATATTAAAAGATCTGTTGATAAACATCACAACATTCTGAAAACTCAGTGATTTTTACATGCTACTTCTATGGGTACTAAATTCTCCACTAACGAGAAATCTAACACCCAAACTTTTATATTAAAAACTACTCAACATCAAACTTTACAATATTATACTGCATATGTGAACTAAGATGAGATAATAGTATATTTCAACTCCCTTGTTATTTCAACCACAATGCAAACCATCCTGCATTTATAATACTGAATGAAGTGGAATATCTAATCTACACTTGGCTGTGTGATCACATCACACATGTCTTACACAAAATACAGCTATATATGGAAAAGAAAAAGCACATGCCTTTATCACAGGTGTATGGTTTATTACATACTTCAATGCTTTAAGAATTTTTATTTATTTTGCTTCCATAATGCAAGTAAACTTCAGCATCTCAAAAGTTTTAATGAAGAATAAATAACAAGACAGTAAAACTCAAACTAGAGGGCAAATTGAACCACTTGCTTACAAAATGGATAATACAACAAAATAGTTTCTACCATCAAAGATAGATAACAGTTAGGCACCTTTCATAGCATGGCTGTTGTCTTGCTCCGTTGTTGTTCACACATCATCTCCCTCTGCTTGAAGAAAAAACTGCAGAGCACACAAAATCATTGGTAATGTGCAATGTCTTTGTAACACTAAAATTTTGGGTATAAAAAATTAACACAGGAGTTATACATTAGTGCAAACAAACGTGTTCTAGGGAATGTATTGATTGTATAAAAATACTTTGTGAATATGATGTTCATTCATGTAGAGCAAAACTCCAGCCAGTACAAAAGTATGTTGGATGTATACTATATGTGTAGCTTGGACTTAATTCAAACCTGATCAAATGCCAATGCCAGCCACACATTCCATTCCAACTTACCATTACAGTGATCATATTGCAATGAGCACCACCAATCCACGACACAAAATTGAGGAATTAATCATCACCACTTCTAACTCGCCATACTGTATCATCTTGAGGCACAATTTGCCAAACTTCCTCTCAGTCTGTTTTCAAAAATAGTAGTGTACAGAACATAGTCTATGCCCTTTTCCAGTTATCACAGATATAAATATGTTTAATAAGTTAAATCATAATATTAAATGTTTATTTTTCCATTGATTTAAATGGACAAACATTGCACATTTCAAGCACCTAGCTGTCTTTCACAGACTCATTCATTCTAGCCTCAGTCGAGGGATCGGTTTCCCATACCGCAAAATATTCTATCTCCACACGTATTTACATTCAATCTGTAGCAATGTGTACTTACAATTTCTTAGATCAAATTCTTAGATTACAATCTTAGAACTTGTCTTACTGGTTTTTGATAATTCTCTCATTGTGAAGAACTCAGAACAATAACATAACAGAACATAATATGCCACTCAGACTTAAGTATATATATATACAAATACCTAAAGGTGTTTTAATTACATCCCTGGTCCATGCAAAATCTGCAAATTCACCCATGCACACTTTCAGTTCTGCTGACAATTCATTTTCAATCTGATGCCCTTCCATCATTTTGTACTTAGTCAACACCCGTGCACTCCTTTGGCAATGACTGGTTTGTTCTCATACTTAAAATCTACTAAAGTGCAGAGATAGTTGAGCTGATGTGTTCTTATTAAAAAAAGAAACAAAAGCAATTTTTTAGAAACACTTATCTGATGTGAAGCAAACATTACTCTTGTTAAGAGGTTACGGAAATATTGGAAATGGAAAGTAGGTACATCACCTTTTGAGCTGCACTTATGAAGGATGTTTGGGGCTTAAGGGATCTAAAATTATTGACATTGATAGTAGGAAGTAAGGTAACAGCTGAGCTTGCAAAACCTTGCCTTGAAGGGAGTGGATGACTACTGTTTCTGAGCAGATACAGCCAATGAAGAGCATATTATTATTCATATTATAATGTGTATATTCACAAAGTTATCTATTATCCTTTAGTTGGAATTTAGAAGTACAGAGAAAAAAAAAAGTGTTTCTTAAAGTGAAAAATTTGCCTGGTACAATATGGCTGTGGTCACCCCTTGTGTCTAAAAGTTTGGCTTATAGATTAAGAGGTAGTCTTCTCCCAATTTTTAAGAAAATTTTGTATATTGTATTCATGAAATAACCATTGGTTTTGATGCTCCTACAGAACTAATGACAACTAGAGACAGTTTGGAACCATATGAATTACCTATTACATGAAGGATTGGTGTGGAGGAGAAAGGAGAGGATGCATAGCTTCAGCAACAACTCTTCAACTGCTGGCATTTTTGTTTAAGATCTTCTACAAATTACAACACATTTCATTTTATGCTGGTACAATATGGTGTTGCTTTTAAAAAGCTTGCAATGGAAGGTACCTTACATGCTTTATGAACACAAGTTTTAAAAACACCAGTAGTTGACATTCTATTTTATAGTACTTTCTGATCATTCCAATGCTTTTCACACTTCGTTGTTTGTAACCTGCTGACCTGGAGGCAGAGACAAAATTGTTATGTCTTTGATCTCCATGTAAAATCACCTTTCTTTCTTCAAGTGTGGTTTTCAACCATGGTCAAAAGTACCATATGTGCATGTTTTGAAAGCTTGGTAAACAGCAACTTTGTGGCAAGGAAGTCAGTTTTCAAAAAAAATGACCAAAACCTTTTGCACAGTATCATTGCACTGGCTACAAGGTACCTTAGTTGGACCATTGTCGCGCTGGACACAGGGAGGGCCTGTAACACGCAGACGGTAGAGGTGCCGGACTAAGCACAGCAGACAGTTCTAGAGGGCCAAAGCACGTGCTTGGAGCCACTGCTAACTGAGCCTATCATGTGGTAGAGCTGCTGCACCTTGCTGCTGATGATGGTGATGATGGTGGTGCTGTTGGTACTGCTGGTGTTGCTGGGAAGTAGCTTCTGTTTCTTTTCGAAGCCTCTGCTGCCTTTGCAAATGCTGTTCTTCGGTCACTATGAGCAGAGACAGAGCCTCCAGGGACTGCCGAACCTGAAGACAGAGAGTGAACAGAGGTTGAACACAGGTTGCAAGTACCTGGGAGTCAATTTAAAAGAGTATGACAAGGGAAAGGCTCATGCACTTTATCCGATTTGAAAGCTGGTTTAAAATGCCCCCTGAAGGTATCAAATCTGTATATTGTAAAGTTCATTATATTAATGTTTTACAATGGAAACATATGCAGGCAACAACAAATAAATATAATTATGTATGTATAAGCCAGTGCTTTGGCTCTGTTGCAGAGCCACTCCAGCGAGTACAAAAGTACCTTTCTCTTATATTACTCATATTATTTCTCCAAATGTTCTGGTATTAGAAAAAGTTTTTGTTCCTAATTCATTTGACTCTTCCAATTAGTTATTTCAATTAAGTATTGCTGAGGAAAGAAGTATTACTTCTGCTAAATTTTCTATTTTACACCTCAACAAGGAGTATGAAGTTAGAAAACATGTATACTTTAATAAAAAACATGAGTTTGTATTGAAATTTGCACTCTAATTTAATTAAAAATATTTGTCATTACCGATTTCTTTAATCCTCTTTAAAATCCAAATTACTATCGAAATTTTTCACTTCATTTGTTCAAGTTTTGAAATTAGAAAATAGTTTGGTTCATTTGAAAATAGTTAATTAATTCTAGAAAAATTATTAAAGGAATTTAATGCATTTACACACAATATTAGACTAATATTATCACCAAAAATAATAATAACAGATAAAAATAGTTTTCATGAAATATGTAGTAAGAAAACCATTCTGTGAACTCAAAATAATATTAAATATAAATTCCAAAATAAATTTAAAAGATACAAGTATACTGCATTTGTTTCTCACTTTCTGCAGTCCTCAGAGGCTCATTTACTTGGTTTGTAGTCACCAGTAAGTTACACACAGTAAAGACCTAATTATTGTATGACCTTTACATGTCAGAAACTATTGATATATAATCATAATTTTTTTTAAAACTTGAATGTTATAAATAATAGGGAGTACTAGTGTTGTATAATGGACAAACACTGCCAAATAAGAGAACTCCAACAGTAAAAATTTGATTAAGTTGGTTAACTTTCACACAAAGTAAATGTTTTAGTATTGTTAAATTATCTGATAGATTCTTGATAAAAATTAAGTAGGTAGTTTTGATGTGTTTTCTTTCTTCTATGCACATTTTTTTATATTGTAGAAAAATGTCTTACCTTTGCTAGTTGGTTGAGATTGGTGTTGAGAAACTCTTGCACTTCATTTGCTGACCTGGAATGTAGTTGAGTCTGCCACTTTAATATTTCCTGATATATGTCATTGCTGGAGGGGAAAGAAAAATGGTCTTTTGAAGCTGAGCCCCTTTAATAAGATAATGAGTATAGCAAGCAGTCTCCAACCAAAGCAATGCTGTGAATTTGCCTTTTTCAAGTTGCAATTAAGGTTTTATTACATACATCGTTAGTTGATTAATAATATAAACAACAAAGAATGCTAACAAAGTGCGAGGGTTTTCTTTTAAGTCTACGTGTTACATGCTTAAATACATGATTTCTAGGTAAAATTTAAAGAAAAAATTAAAAGAAAAAGGAAATTCTTATTAATGAAGGAGAAGAATTTTAAATGTAGTCTTCTTTAAGATTAGCGAAAAAATTCTTTTTAAAATAAAATGTTTAATAATCAATTAATAAGTATTTACCAAGGAGTAGGGGGATGTAATATGCCTGTTTAAGAGCTTTTTAAGTGTTAAAATATTTTTTTGAGAGTGAATTAATTTAATTCTGTTGAGGCTGCAGAAAAGTAATTAGATAAAAGGTAATTGCTTACTGTAGATAGAACTGACTTCACTAGTCTTTGTCATTTGTAAATCCTTATAAAAGGAAGTTACTTGATGGTTAGTTCAATGACAAAAGACAAATATTTAACGGTGAGGGTTCAATAGAAGCACACTTGTGGAGAAAACAGAAGGCAGTACAAACATATATATCCAAAAGCAAAATCCAGTGAACTGATACACCAATTTCTCTTTGAGCATCTATGGGTTCTTGGAGTGCCACGATTCCTTAAGCAATGAAGTAAGTATAAATTGCTGGAATTGCTTTGAATTTAGTTTCCAATGGTCAAAGCAAAAATTTGGAATGGTGGAAATATCTGTCATATTCCCCTAGTTTCACCAGGAATCTTCTTCAAAGTATCCATTACTGAGAAATAACATTGTTTTACTTCATGGCATGTTCACTAGAACTTAAACTTAAAATCGACTTATACCTTCACCAGAATGTGAAGTTAAGGCATATGAATAATGCTGATTACTGAGTAGCATTCACAATTTGCAAAATTTTCAATACATGTTTATATAAAATATTTTCAAAATGCCAACTGTTTTGTATTTAAATGCACAAGTGGTTTTGCATAAATACATAAATGGGAATTAATTGATTCCAACTGAATGACTGAGTGAGTAAATGCAAACAAGTTTGATTCCATGTGAAATGACAAAAAGAACATGATATAGCGAAGACTGCTTATTTATGTAGTTTTAGAAGGCACAGCGTGTAAGAGCATGCAGGTATGTAAGGAATTGGAAGGGAGAATGGTGAAGTAGCATACATACATGAAGAATCATGTACAGTGATTGGAGCAAATGGTAGGGACAAACAAAACCGTTCTTGTAAATTTGGAAATAAAATATTGTAATTTTATAATAAGTGCCTTAAGTAATGTAGTTGCAGGCTATGCACCCCTGGAAAACACTTGTATTGATGCCCACCATTAAAGTCCACATTTTTGTCATGGACTTGGTGCAACATCTGCAATTTGTAACTACCGCACCAAAATGCTTAATAAATATTGGTAATAGATTCACTCCTCCAACTATCTCAGATCACTCTTAACTGAAGCAAGACTTTAATCTTTTTAGATTTAGCACAAATAAATTTGCCTTTTCAGTTTTGGTTTGTTCAAAGAGGCCAAACAGACACCAAAACGGTAACCTAATTTTTGGAGCTGCCATTGTCAACAACACACACGAACCAGTCCATCTGGGGCCATGTGCAGAGGAGATGGTTTGTCACAGCATGGCTAGGGCTGGCAGGCAGTGGGCGTTGGCATGCATAATACCCCATAATTAAATTCATAGAACAAATCATTGTTGATGACGGACAACCTCCTTTGTTATGGAATTTGTGATTTTTAGATTTTACTATCAATGATTCAGAATTGGCTTTTTCTCAAGCCTGAAATAAATTTTCCTAAAGAAAACTAGAATTTGTGGTTTTAAAATAGCAAATAAAAAAACCCTGTGACCTTTACAATTTATCGATAACAGAATATCATGTGTGTGGCAAGAGACACATGGGTGGTTCTTGGAACATGCTTTCAGAAATATATTACATTAAATAAATATTTAATTCTATTATGAAGAAAGTGTAGAATGCTTAAACTTAACAATGGTGTGGAATGGACAAGAAGTTTTTTCCTTCCTCCTGAATTTTTTTTCCTTTCACATACGAGGTTGTCTATCATCGATGACGAAATGTTGATAAGGCTTCAAGTTATTCCAGGCAGTGAATATAGCTTACGTTCTCCCTAAAAAAATTAAAAGAAACTTTTTTAAACTCAAATAAGCAAGTCGTTCGACAACAAGCCATTGGATTTGAATGGTCCGCGTGAAGGGGCAGGTGGCTGAGCGCATGCTAGCACCTATCAGAGGCTGCGCGGGGGCGAGCGAGGCGAGACACGCACCTGCCGGCGAGCGAGAGCGTGTGGTCGGGCGCGGCGAACTGCGTCTGCACTCGGCCGATGCGGTACAGCAGGAAGGCGGCCGACAGGAACAGAAGCACGAGCAGCGCCGTGGAGCAGAGGCAAGCAGGTGGGCGGGCGCGGCGCACGGCGCCGCCGGCGGAAGAGCGCGCCAGCGCCGCCCCCGCGCCTCGCGCCGCGGGCGAGGACGCGGCGGCGGGCGAACAACCCAGCCCGCGGACCGGCCCCGCCGGGCCGTGCCCGCCCGGTGCGCCACACTTGCGCGCCCAGGCGCGAGGAGTTGCTTCCGTTGGGCACTTCGACCGCCGCGGGCGCACCGGATCGGCCCTGCCGATGAACACCAACGGCGCGCACGCGGGCGTTACACGGGGGAGGGACGTTGCAAGCGGCTCGCCGCCGAGGAGAGGAACGAGTGGCACTTCAAGAATGTTCAAGTGGCTAGATAGAATGATCGACACTATCAAATCTACTACTTTTAGAAACCGGTCTATCATCACTTCTTTTTCCTTCCGAGTATTTTGCGTACTGACAGTTTGGAAGAAATACCTCTCTTTTCTGTTACGCGAAATGAAGTATTTCAAAATCATTGCTGAATGTCTTCACTTGCGGCGCCGTAACCGGACGTTACAAGCTAGATTGTACTAGCACACGTTCTTATATGAAGATAAAATGACTCCTATGAAAACTGCTTATTTTTATCGCGGGTTGAGAATGCCCCACAGCATAATGCGCTTCAGATTGAAGAACATCCGAAAGGCTGTGATATCGAAAACCAATCGTGTTGCAAGATTTCTACAGCAAAATTCCTGACAATCTCAATAGTACGGCGAACTTTCTGAATTTTATTTTAGGATTGTATTATATTAATTGGAATTTGAGCTTTATAATTCTCTTATTCCAACACTATATTGTAAGTTTTTTTAATTATATACTTTACATAAAAAAAGAGATGACTGTGTGAAACGCACTATGACATACATGTCTTTCTTGCGGATACCACTTATTCCTCATCTCGGCCCACAAGTCGCCAAAGGGCCATTTCAAATTCATTTTATTTTCACTGGTATAATAAGAAGAACCCCTGAAACGCGGGGTTTGGAGACTCACTTGGTAGCAGCGGAGGCAGACACTCACCCTCCGAGTGGGAGATGTCGGTGGGGCAGTCGATGGGCGTGGGCGGGCACGAGTGCTCGCTGCCCGACATGGACGAGTCCTCGTCCTCGGGCAGCTGAATGTCGCCGCTCACAGAGTCCACCTCGCTCTTCATGACCTGCCACACACGTGCCCTCGCTCAAAAGCCACCCTCTGCCCAGAGGCCGCAAGCCAACCACTTCCTTCAGACAAAACCTCAAGCCATGGCACTGGCAAAGCGCATCAATAGAGATGCAATGAACAGAAGGTTGAAAGCAAGGATTATTGTATACACCATTTCTCACTGAGAGAAGGTTAGAGAAGCAAGGGTCTGGGGAATGTTTATTTGTATAGAAGCTAGTTTACAGATTCTGCCACTCTTCCCATTCTTTCGCACTTAAATTGTTTCTTACTTTCCAAATTCAAAGATACTCTACAATCCCGAGCTAGATCATCTTACTGGACTAAAACACATTTACATTTTGCTAACCAGACTACGGGAGTCTAAGACTTCAGAAAGTCTCAATAAACTGTGTTTATTAAGACTTCCTGAAATGAAATAATAAGTAAAAGAAAATATTACTCAACTCTAACAAAACCTATGTACTTCCTTCAGTACCAATTTTCAGTATGTAAAGAACGCTCAGACAAAATGAAACAATAAAATCCTGAGATGAAATCACACGAATGCTTTTGTGGTGGGCCAAAAAAGGGATACGAGTCAAAAAACGAAGAAATGAGTAATGTGCACTGGTCATGTACTTTCCGGAACAAGGAGTTGGGAATGATACCCAGAAAGTCAATTATTGGTAAAATACACACTATTTGTAACACCCTTTTTGAGTAAAACAGGACAAACGATTGCTTCCCTCTTCCGGCCCCCTACAGAATTCGTGTACGGAGGCTGGTTGTTGAAGGGTGAGAGCCGGGGGGGGTCTCACCTGCACGGGGGGCAGCGCGGCCTTTGGCGGCCCCTGCGCCAGCGCCTCCTTCCACACCTGCAGCATGAGCTTGTAGGTGGAGTCGCGCGACAGCAGCGAGCCGAAAACGTGCTTCTCCAGCCCCGTGGCCACTCCGATGGCGTTGGGGATGATGCGCGCTGTCTTCTCCTTGCTCACCCGCAGCACCGACACCGTCGGGATCAGCAACTACGCAACACACACACACCACACGCGTCACCCCGCGTTGACCCACCAGCTACACGGTTGCCAAGGCGATGTCGATGTTTTCAAAACATCGATGTTTCAAACATCGATAGATTAATGTAGATGTTTATTTAACATAGATTTCTTGGGATTATTTTATTACATTTTCGATGTTTTGTTATTTTATTTGTGTCCCAAAAATGTCCATAATCACAATTTTGCAAAAGTTAAAATATGAAATAATAACTGATGATTCCACTGTGAGTGCGAATGGTCGAACCAAGAGAACGCTGTTTTTATTCAACCTTCATCGAGCAGACTATCTCTCCACTGAGGGGTGACCCCGTTGCCCTGGTATTTCCCACACTTTTTCCTTGTCTTTTGCACGCGAAGAAGCGGTCAACGCACCGCGCGTGCAGTAGGCGACTAGGCGGGGTGCCTCCTTTTCCCCGGATCTATCTTGGGCGAAATGTGGAATAACTTGATCCCCTCATGTGAGACTGTGCCCTCGGGCTTTCAAGTTCAGTTTTCTTGATTGTCATCATCATCATCATCATCATTATTATTATTATTATTATTATTATTATTATTATTATTATTATTA